CTCCTCAGGGTGTTTCCAACCTTGGGGAAGCAAATGGAGAGCATCAAGACCACCCGAAATCTGATAAGGGGATTCTAAGCTAATCAAAGATGAAGAGAGGGAAACCGGTAAAGTCAGCTTCAATTTGTACAAAATGTACTGCACTGAGGCCTTTGGCTGGTGGGGTGTGACTGCAGTACTGTTAGTTTCTCTGGTATGGCAAGGTTCTCTAATGGCCGGCGATTATTGGTTGTCATACCAAACTTCAGCCAAACGCGCACTTTCATTTGACCCTTCGGTATTTATTTCTGTTTATGCCATCATAGCAGCCGTGTCTGTTGTGTTGATTTTGATCAGGGCCATTTTTGTAACACTTATGGGGCTCAAACAGCTCAGATCTTTTTTGGACAAATTCTTCAAAGCATCATGCATGCCCCTATGTCCTTTTTCGATACCACACCGTCAGGAAGAATTTTAAGTCGGGTAAGGTTTCAAAGACTGTATTTCGACACTTTCATCATCTGTCATATTTATATTATTTGTTAAAAGAAGCAACTGGAGAAGTAGTTACAAGAAAGAAGTGATCAGATATCTTGGGACTAACAGATTCCTTCTTTTGTAATCAACAGGCATCAACTGATCAGACCAACGTTGATTTCATGGTTCCGTTCTTCATGGGGCTACTTATTTATATGTACATTACACTGCTCAGTATCTTCATAATCACATGTCAATATGCTTGGCCAACAATATTCCTGATAATTCCTCTTGCTTGGCTGAATATCTGGTATCGGGTATGCGCGTCTTTCATGCAAATTTAAAGAATTCTTTTCATTCACATATATGAAACAGCAGTTTTTTTTATCTGTTTAGGTCATTTTTCTTGAATTACAGGAATACTTCCTTGCATCATCTCGAGAATTAACTCGCCTTGACTCGATCACCAAAGCACCTGTCATTCATCACTTCTCGGAAAGCATATCCGGAGTTATGACAATCCGCGCATTCCGAAAGGAGGATTTTTTTTGTCAGGAAAATGTTGACAGAGTAAATTCCAATTTACGCATGGATTTCCACAACTATGGATGCAACGAATGGTTGGGATTCCGCTTGGAACTTATCGGGAGTGTAGTCCTCTGTCTTTCTACCTTGTTTATGATTGTGTTACCTAGCAGCATTGTCAAGCCAGGTAATTCTATATGTTCATTGGCCTTGTACCATCAAAGTATAAGAATGTTTGAAGAAACTTATTTTGCAAAAATGCAGAAAATGTGGGGTTATCTCTCTCATATGGGTTGTCCCTCAACAGCGTGTTGTTCTGGGCACTATACATTAGCTGCCTTGTGGAAAACAGGATGGTTTCTGTTGAAAGAATAAAGCAATTTTCGAGGCTCGAGCCGGAAGCGGCATGGCATAACGAAAACTGCCTTCCCCCTCCGAATTGGCCTGCCCGAGGCAATGTCGAGCTCAAAGACCTGCGGGTAACACTTTTCTCTCTGTAACTTCTTTTGAACTACATGCTTTGCCAGAGTTGATGAACTACTGCCAACAATTTTGGCCAGCAGGTTAGATACCGTCCAGGCACGCCTCTTGTACTTAAAGGCATTACTCTGAGCATTAACGGTGGTGAAAAAATCGGTGTAGTTGGTCGGACGGGGAGTGGGAAGTCGACTTTAATCCAAGTTTTCTTTAGACTGGTTGAGCCAATAGGAGGGAAAATAATTATTGATGGCATAGATATCTGCATGCTGGGACTTCATGATCTTAGGTCGCGCTTCGGGATCATCCCACAAGAACCTGTACTGTTCGAAGGAACTGTTCGAAGCAACATCGATCCGGTAGGACAGTATTCGGATGAAGAGATATGGAAGGTAAACATGTTATTCCAAAAACAATATGGACCATTTTAGGCCATACAAGCTTATTTGTTGATATTTTCTACAGAGCCTTGAGCGCTGCCAACTTAAAAACGTGGTTGCTTCGAAACCAGATAAGCTCGATTCTTTAGGTAAATGACTATTAACTTGTTCTGAATCTCCCGACTGAAGTACTGCTTAACCGAAACCATTTCAATCACCAGTGGTTGACAACGGAGACAACTGGAGCGTGGGGCAAAGGCAGCTCCTGTGTTTGGGGAGAGTAATGCTTAAGCGCAGCAGGCTTCTGTTCATGGACGAGGCGACAGCATCCGTCGATTCACAAACTGATGTCGTAATCCAAAAGATCATCAGGGAAGAGTTTGCAGCCTGCACGATCATCAGCATCGCTCACAGAATACCAACAGTAATGGACTGTGACAGGGTATTAGTCGTCAATGCAGGCGAGTCCTTTCTCTTAGCCTTTTCACTCGTGCCAAACTTCAATACAAAACATTCATGGTTACAGTTCGTCACATGAATTTCCATATCTAACGCTTATGTTTTTCTTTAATACACAGGAAAGGCTAAAGAATTCGATTCACCATCGTGCTTGCTCGAAAGGCCATCACTGTTTGCAGCATTGGTACAAGAATACGCCAACCGCTCTTCCGGGTTATAACCGAATCTCGTGGAGAATTTTTCGCAGACGACTGGCGGTGGAAATCCGATAGGTAACATGTGAGTTTTGCAGATGATAATTAACCTAGTATTCTTTCAGCTATGAGGAATGTTCTATTTATTTCAATAAAAGTGCAGCAAAATGTAATCTATGCCTCTTGAGGCGTCTATGTAAGAATGGACTCGTTTAATCTATTTCTTTTACCCTTTTTTTCCCATGGATCTCCCTTTATGAAGCTATTACCTATATTTATCTTTGGTCATTGAACTAACATATAATCTTGTGAAGCTATTACCACACTTAAAAAAAGCCGTGTTCCCAGTAAGAACATATCGATACAAATCAACACATATGTTCGAAATCGTGGAGCAGGAACTTTGTTAAGAATCCCTTAAACTGACTAAAAAATTGGGATCCGTTTAAATTTATACCCATATAAATAAGGATTGATATACTAATTTTTTTCCCGTATTCTCTAACAACACGTTTAACATGAAGTTTAAGTTCGAGGTAAAAATACTTATACCAATATATTAAGTATGGTGTATATATTTAACATGAAGTTTGAGTTTGTTAGGAATTTAGGAACGAAAAAGAATCAAAACAAAATTAACGTAAAAGGGTTCATAGTATTACGTGAAACAAGATGGATCTAGGGGTAGGTAGGAATAATCGTCCCTTTCAAATTTTTAAATTTTCCAAAAAACAATTATGGGAAGGATTTCCCTTTAGGCCAAAGAGGATTATATAATATTGTATACCCGACTTGGAGAATTACGCAAATACGTGATATTAACTTTTATTGTCAAAATCATTATCCTACTTTTATCAACTATAACAATATGCACCCAACAACACCAAGCTAATCATTATTAAAGAGCTACGTACTCGACATAAACATGAAAAAGTTAATGGACAAAAATTGAAGATGTTCAAGAAATAACGGTATTAGTATCTAACATTTAATATCGATATCAAGATAAAGTTTGATCTTTTAAGAAAGTAATTTAAACTGTTAGTCAACTATATATCTGAAAGACCTCAAAAGTCCAACCTAGATTCTGCTTCTAATGAGGACAAAAAACTTCTAAAAAGCTTATTAGATTACATTCTATTCACTTAGAGCAAACTTGTATGGATTTAAGTCTAACTGACCAATTCAGTTTCTTTTCCATTTCCAGATAAAATTCAACCGGCAATTCGTCAAATTTGACATATTAGATATATTTAACATATTAGTTTTCAAAACATTTTTCGGATTAAACTATCCTCTCAAACTATAAACTAACTTTCCATAAACAAACTTAAGATTTTAAACATCGCCAACTTTTTGCTGCATAAAATTATACCTAAGATGATTACGTTAGTGTTCATCCCTTAAATGAATAATTTAAGACTAATTGCAATAGCTACCAAATCTGCACTGTACATCATTGAGCGTAGAGTTCTGATCCTAGTGCGAAACCTCGACTCACGACAGTCCTTTTTTCTCTTTTAACATCTGGGCAAAACTTGGCATGCTTTCCAAAAAATCGAAGTTCATCAGCAGAAATTCCAAATCTAAAGCCAAGCAAATGGTTACCGTATTTCCTTCTGCATCCCAACAAGATTAACTAAACCAACAATCAAATCATATTATCAAGTGCCAAAAACTTGCATGTAACAATAGTTAAAATAACACACCCAACATCATATGTTCTAAAAAGTCGTATGAAACCCAGCATAGTTGATATAATTACAAGTTCATCCGAAATTAAAACCAGGTATGCATCTTCTCCACAGCTTCTGACACACGAGAATCAACTCTGCAACAGTATCTCACCTGTCAAATGAAATATGGTACAGTTTCCAGTGAAAACTTTGTTTATTCGACAAGACGAAATATACCAACAAAAGACAACAGAGGGGCTTGGGATCAAGACCCAGATAAACTCTTGCTCCTACTCCCACTTGGGCTCCTGCTAACGCTGCGTCTTTTGGGACTCTTACTCTTCCTTTTTTGGCGCTGCAGACAATCCAGTAAAATATAAAAACAATAATAAGCATTAAACAGAGGAATAGAAAACCTGATAGATTAACTGCACAGCGGACATAACTAGATTATACACAAAGAAGCCACTTACAGAAGGCAGAGGAGATCTGGACCTTGATGGAGATCTGCAAAAGTTCCAGAAAGAACAAAAGTTCAAAAACAACACATTCCTTATAACTTTCATGTCTAAGAGCCTTGATGCTCCTTCCACATCCGAATCACAGTATAAAAGGAATAAGAAAGTAACGAATAAAGCTCTGTCTGGTATGGAGGATCGGAAATGGGTTAATCAAATGGTTAACATTCTTAACCACTTCCCTAAGTTAAAGCTTAATCATTAGATTAACAAATTTTCCATCCTCGAGTTTTTCCATCCTTCATACCAAGCAGAGCCTTTAGCTGATAAGTAGGGGAAAAATGCAGATGGGACCAGCTCACAAACCTGCTTACATAATTAAAGAAACCTGGTCTAACAAAATGAAATTCTTAAAAAGAATTAATTTTTCATATTTCAACAGTGGCGTAACAGAGAATGAGCATGCTCCCCTATTATTCCCAGATAATCCACAAGCATGTCCTATTAGCTTGGCAATATCCGGAGCTGAATTGACAGTGAAATATTTCTACCGCCCAGTGATGGTGAGTTGCAAATCCAAGAGAATTTACTTCACTAAAATCCAGCTCTACTATTGCAATTCCTTGTAAAGAATTCCAGCTCTATAAATGTAGTCCATTGTCTCCTTTGTTCCCAATCTAGCACCCATGGACATTTTTGATACTACGTATATTAGACAAAGGACAATGAAGGTTTTAAAGTTTCCCATCTAGAAAATAGCATACCTCTGCAACCAAACGAGTTGCATGCAATTGAACCATATTCCCACAAGATCCCAATATCCAATCCCCACTTTGCTGCATATATCCATATCTAAAAAGATAAACAAGGTATTTTTCATATGACAAAAGGAGAAAAAAGTGGATGTAGTTCAAAACGGCGATACAGTCCAGACCCAATTTCTCAGATAGCCCATCTTCTAGATGAGGAAAAGCATGTGACTCAAAAGCAGAAAATGTTGACAACCACAAGAATACCCAGTACATTATCCTTGCTACAACAAAGGCAATAGTCACCGTGAAGGGAGAAACAAGAATACCTAGAATGAGAGCAAGACCTTGAAGCGGATCGGGAGTGAGGAGACCTCGATCTTGACTTTACAGGTGACTTGCGTGCAGTCTTTGTTCTTGGAGATTTGCTGCTTTACATTTGCAAGGTTAACACGTAATGTCTAAGGCATAAGTAAATTTCTTCCATAAGAATAAAGAAAAACCTGCGGCTCCTGCTTCGGCTATAGCTGCGACCACGGCTTCGGCTACGACTTCTGCTTCTTGAGAGAGATCGACCACGACTAGGGCTTCTAGAGGAATCCCTCTTAGAATCGTATTCCTTAACCTAAAGGCAATAAGTCTAGTAAGCAAAACGAAATGTAATAAAAGCCAATACAGAGTAATAACATTAAAAATGACAAACAAGTCAAGTAAGTTTTAATCTCAAATATATATACTGAAAAAAGAATCATCTTCAATTTCTAGAAGACTAGGTTGAGATGTATACCCGAACATATGCACGAGAAAACGCATTACGAAACTCAGAGTCATCAAGTTTCTTAATCTGCAAAAAAGGACCACAAATATTTGTACAGATTACTCTATCACATATGTTAAGTTAAACAAGGTTTTTCTGGTTGTCAATAAGAGTTGAAAGGAAAAAAGGTAACTTACAGCATACTTCATATCATCATAATTGGTGTAATCCACAATCCCTGTAGTTCCTGCAAAACCGAAAAAAGTAACTCATGTGAGTAAACCTGCAGCTATAGTCTTGACCCAATAACAATTGTTTTAATCATTTAAATTTAAAATTTACTAACTTTAACCAAACTCTTATATAAAAGTTAAACAACGACTGAACAACATAATGTCTTACCACTACCATCACGGAAAACTTGGGAAAAACAAATATCCCCTGCTCGACGCATGTGATCCTGAGAGAAAACACCTCACAATGTAACAAAGATTAGATTTTACCTCTCTTTTCATGTTATAGGTTTCTCTTGGGGTGTTTACTTTAGTACCAAAATCAACTTGTACCTTGAGGTCCTGCCATGAAGCAGAAGATGGCAATCCAGTAATTAACACTGCACATCATAGCAATCAAGACAAATCATAAGCAGTCTACTTGTATATAACAAAGGATTATAAATGGATACAAATAGATTCAAACCACGATATTCAGAACGCCTAGATGGTCCACGACCACCATGACTGCTGTGACGGTCACGGTCTAGGGATGAATGGCCACGTCCACCATGAGCGAGTTCAACCTTTACATAAGAAAATCATTAAAAGATAACCTATAACATCAAATCCATGACCCCATAGATGCTAAATAGAACCTAAACATGCAAGAAAAAAAACTAACCCGTAAACGATGTCCTCCAAAATCATAGCCATCCCGACCACGAATGGCATCTTCAGCATCTCGAGCTTCTTCAAACTAAAAAAAATTTGAAGTAAAAAAGGATTAAAAACTAAAAAAAATGGTATCCCCTCACAAAATAAACAAATGAACAAAAAAAGAAAGGCCAGCACCTTTGAACTCACCTCAACAAATGCATAACCAGGAGGCCTTGGTGGAATCTTCAGATCAATTTGGGCAATAGGACCATACTGCAACAAAAACGAAAAGAAGAGTACAAGCCGATAGATAACCCTTAAGTCTAACAAAAGCACCCCAAGAACGAGCCAAACACATACCAAGTAGACAAAATTTGAAACTAGTAACTGTTATTCACTCTATAAATTTAACATAGCAAACCTTCAAGCATATCATAAATAGAAGTATGTACAACTACATTTAAGTTTTCTTCAGATGTTATGGATTAAAAATGACCGTTGTAGAATGGTATCTTTTGCTCTCAACAATTTTCTCAGTATAACTAATTGGCAATCTTAATAATTTCATTCCTTGCTATTCAATATGCATGCAGTAGTTAATCCTAGCATGGAATTCAAACCATAATTTCGCCTATATTTGTGAGTATTTTTTTTTTGCAATTAAAACTTGTTTGTCCCCACAAAACTAAAAATCTTTCACACAACCTAATAAAATTAAGAGTTAAAAGGTGAAATTAAAAAGAGATTTTTTAAAAAAGAAAATATGAAAGGTTATTAACCTTGTAAAACAAATCTTCTACTTCCCTTTCGCGAACATCACCAGGAAGATTCCCAACGTAAAGGGTCCTGCTAGAACGGCTGCTCATCTTTTCACTTCCCTGAGAAATTTAAAATAAAATAAAAATCCAGAGAGTTCAATTAACAATTAAGTAAAGAAGGGGAAGATGTATCGATTTAGAGATTGAATTCAGGAATTAGGGTTTCTACCTGCGTTAAAGCAGGTTGTTCCGACACAACGAGAAGGAGATCTTCGGGGAAAAAAAATTAGGTGAAATTGAAAAGAGATGTTAGGGTATACCGGGCTTTGTAGATATCTTGTTGCTCTCTGTAGATTTTATTTATATCTAACAGCGTCAGGTTTACGCTGATGAAAACTACTTTTTGACGTTGACCTGAATTTCGTGAAAATGAATGCTGACGTGTATACTCCCTCTAGTTTGCCAAACTAATTTTGCCACGTAAAATAAAAACTCAATTTTCTTAATTTTATTTTGTTAGTAATTGTAGTTTTTTTATTTCCTTTTAATAAATGACTAATGATATACTCTACTAACTTAACTGCGTAATTCTCACAGACGATTTTTACTCTTGGAGGTGTTGTCCTTTCCTTTCCTGCAAAGTCATCCATTTGAACTAGTTCTGCCAAAACGTCAGCCAACTTGTTTCCTTCTCTTCGCACTTGTGAGAGAGATATTGTCCAATTCCTCATTTCTAATTCTTGGATATGCTGTAATATTGATGGTGATAATGCTTCTTGAGTTCTCTTTTATAATATTCGAAATACTTCGATGTTGTCCGTCCCAAGTATTACCTTCCTTTTTCCTATTCTCCATGCATGTGTAAGACCTACGAATGCTCCCCAAAGTTCTGCTTCCAACGCCGAGCAAATTCCGATTGCTTTAACTAATTCAATCATCCATTCACCCTTGCTGATTCCTCCACATGATGCATATCCATCCCGAGTATCCCTTGCTCCGTCTACATTAACCTTGATCCATCCCTCCGGTGGGGCTGTCCATCTGGTTTCTCTGGGTGCATTGGTGTGCTCCAGGATCCTATTTCTAGTCGCGGCCTCTATTGCCTGAATTCCTTCTGCTTGGAGTTGTTTGCTTCGTTCCTATATTGAGAATCTGTCTAACTTTTCCGGTTCAAAGACGCAAAGGTTTCGGTGCCTCCAAAGCGTCCAAAGTAACGATCCAAACAGCAAGTCTCATTCCTCTCCCTCAATCGCAAAATAGCTCGGTGTTTCAGTAATTGTAATATTGAATACATCAAAATATGTTGTTTTGAGATTTTCCTTTTTAATTTCTTTGGAATTTCTTTTTTTTAATAAGTTTGATGAAAAAGTTAAACGACGTTGGCATAGACATTTTGTAAATACTATGGAATGGTTTCTTAATAAATGTATTACTTTTAAATAATATTATATTCATTCTGATGTTGGTAACATTACGGGGCCGAAGTCCACTCGAACCCGCAAATCTATAGATGTTGGTGAGACCGGACACCAGCCGACAAGGCAAAGGCTAAAGAAAATCAGAGGTCTGTCGGCCACGGGCCCCTGTTCGTTTAGTAAATTATTGAGGATTCACCGCCAGGCCCAAGGACCCAATTTAGATTTTAAAATGGCTTTCACGAAAGCCTCTATCGATGATTGACTACACTACAGCCTTTATTAATAACCACTATAATTCTTTCGCAAATATTTTAGCCTTTTATGTGAATCTCTTGCCATATCTCCAATTGTTAAATCATTCAATTAAAAGTTTGCGATAACAAAATAATATATTTTATTTATTTTAGGTAATTAGAGTAGTTAGTTTTATTAAGGAGAGAAAATATTTAAAATTATAATAAAGTTAATAAATTAAATATATAATTAGAATATTTTTTTATTATCATTGACACAATAAATTAGTAACTTAAGATATAAGGAAAATATTAAAATTCATCTAAAAAAAACACATACGAATAAATCTGGCTGCATCAACAAATGAACCACAACAGTGGATTAAATTATTGAAAGATCATTGAAAAAATTAAACTAAAAACAAATGTCATGAGAAAATTATCTATGAACGCAAACCATATATCCAAGTCCAATACGAGGGTCCAAAGCAGAGATGAATAATATAATAATAAATAAATATCAACTTGACCGATCGAGGAGACATCACATCCAAAAACAAAAAAAAATAAAACAGAAAAAGATTAAACGATTAAAAACGTACCATAAAAATAAATGAAAATATGTCATAAAAATAAAAGAAACATGTCATAAAGATATAATTATTAAAAAATGAAAAATAAAAAATATAATTAAACAAAATAAAAAATAGAAAACAAACAACCTTTAGAGTTTATAGAGTTAAAAAAGGAAAAATGGTTAACCCTAATATTAACCAAATACTGTAAAAGCGCGTTGAAACTTGAATCATGTTGATGTAATACGACTCGAATGTTAGATGATGTGGATAGGAAGAATCGAATTAGTAAACTGTGTGCAAATAGTTGGGTTGAATTGTTAAAGTGCAGCCCGCCAAGTAACCTCAACTTCATATATACTGTTCAACACCCAACACATCAATAGGGACATGTGCCTCTTTCCTCCTCGTCAAAACTCAACAAGGCGACGACCGTCCACGTAATGCGAAAGGTAATTAAAAGTGGTCCATATACGATAAATTCGCTATAAATTTGTTTTCATTTCACGATTTTTTTTTGTATTTTTAGAATCATAAAATTTTAATAATAATAAGGAACCCTCATCTTCTCCAACTAACAAGTAATTGTTTGTCGCTATAAGAACCAATTATTCTTGAATATTAACTCCGCACGATCCGTACATGGTCCCCAAAAGATATTACATTTTATTTGTAAAAATAAACAAATAATAATAACACTGTCTTCTCTGATTCCTAGTATTTAAAGGGAAGATGAATGGTATAGCAGACCATGTATATAATTGTGGGGAACCTTCTATGCCCATTGCATCCTCAATCATTTTACACGGTAAAGTACTCGAAATAATGTTATATGGTCAAAATTATAGTATAAAAATGAAACCACTTGCACATCAAATAAAGTTTTAAATTTTAAAATCTTATTCAAGATAAGAACGATGTCAAATTCCACTTTATAAAAATAAAGGTTAATCTTTCTTAGTTAGGATAGAGAGTTGTGACGAATGAAATGATGAAGATTAATTGATATGTGAATGAGGGTGAGAGAGAATTATCAAAAGAAAAAGGGTTGATGAGTTATGGGCGATCATCTCAGTTTTGATTGAGGTATTATAGTGATCTTTAATGTGTGTCGATGATAGGGTCGTTATGATTATTTGTAGATTAATTGGTTAGACAGATTCAGAGGTTATATTTTGGATTAAATTTTGAGAAGTTATTTGAGTTTGTCAGAGGTATTATCTACGTATTGTAGTTGATTAATGAAATATTACCAATTTTAATGAATTCTACTTAACAGAGGCTCGATGATTTCCCGAATCTCGTTTCTAGAAGCATAACAATTATAATTTATAAAAACTTTTTGTTGATAAAATAATATAATGCAAAGAAGTCAGTTATATCCTACATTGACAAGATACAAGTTAGGTGGAAGGTTTATATATCAACCTTCTTTACTCATCGAGTATTAATTCATGAAATTTATGACCATAACATCAAAAATTTTGTGCTCTATTGATTGAACTAGAATAATTACAATTATATTAATTCTTTTTGAATAAAAGTACAGCAAGAATTGTGTCCCAAAAGGGTCAGCATCATCCAAGAAAAACGTCGACCATAATGATCTCCGATAATTAAAGACGGCAAACAATGTTTTCAAGATTAGATTTTCAATCCTTGAACTTGAGTAGTACGATTTTCAATCAAGAAAAGCAAGGAAGACAAGTGTGGCCGAGTTTAGCCGATTGCCTCAACTCAACGAAAGATGTTATTTCTCTCGATGGTCTTAGTCAAGAGTTTTGTTGTGGAAGTCGTTTTCGGATGGATTAAATGGAGGCCTGATTGGAGTCCATGAAATATAGCATTCCTATGATAAGATAATATATGTTTAAAATTTCCTTAATTTATTAATAACATATATTTTGATCATAGTTTCTCAAACTTATAATCTTTCAGAAGAATAACATTTTCTATTAATAAAATAATATATAAAATTTTGAAAAATGTGTGACAACTAATTTATGGGGTCGATTTCATTTCACAATCAGAATAAAATAGCAGAGTGGATTAACTCATCAAATGATTTTAATGGTAATAGAAAATATCATTCTTTAAAGAATCATAAATTCGAGCAGTACAATATACATGTTATCAATTCGTTCAAAATATTTTGGAGAACTACTACTTTCACGGTGTACGTCGGAAAATCCTTGAACGTTGCTTAAGATGGAATGCTCCAACCAAACGACGTGCAATTCAAGTCCCCACACCTGCATAACTCAAAATTATCGTTCCTAACGGTTCAAATAAAATAAAAGATCTAATTTTGCCTCCACTTTGTATGCTTTCTACTTTTGAAATTTACTCTCAATACTTTCATCTCTACTGATTTAGTTCATTTACTTATCTAATTTAGAAATTAAACCGATTTCTGTAGAAATTGATTATGTGTTATCACTTGGTTTTTTTAAAATGAAAATGAAACATATGCAACTTTGGCCTAATGTAAAGTAGCTATCCAAAACTCACTTCATTTTTTTAATAGTTTAGGTGATTCTAAGATAATATTTGTTCATATTTTTCTTAATTAATTAATAAAACATCCTTTAAAAATAACTATTTGAATTCAATATTTCTAAGGAACATAATGTTATCTTATCCACAGAGACTCTTTAATAGATTCCAAATTTAATTTTGAATACGGTTAAACGCTTTTATTGACATCTAAATAAGTTTGGTGGTGTTCCATTATATTCTATTATCATGGTGGTCGTTAGTTTTCCTCGTCGATAAACAATAAAGAAAATTATCTGCAGATGACCATATGATTTTTTTATCTCATTATAATGGTTTATCGTTAGTTTTTCATATTTATAAACAATAAAACGAAACTATTTGAGTATATGCTTGTATAACAACATATATTGCATTTGAAATTCAGATGTTAGCATACTTTAACATAGAATCACTCGAGTGGATGATCTTTCGGAAGTGGAGTAATGACTCTAGAGGTATAATGCATTTTATATCGAAATTGAACGGGAAACAAGATTTGTTGAGATATGTATAAAAAATATCTTTAAATATATTTGTCATCTCATCGATGCTGAGAAC